CGGTTCCCGGTTTGAAAAATTACGAGTATTTGATACGGTCGTGGCAGATAGATCCGTAATAGCGAGGCACGGGGACGACACGGGAAAATCGGTGGGACAAAGAACGATCGGAGATAATCTCCTTTTGTGAGGAGAGGCGGCGGCGGCGGCGTGAATCGCAACGGGCACCTTTGTGCGCCAGCTTCGACGAACGCGAGGCCCGTGAATAAGCCGTGGAAAAAAGAACGAGCAGCAGCAGCAACAGGAGGAGGAGGAGGAGGATACCTCGACGACATTTGTCTCCTCTTTCCACGGAGGAGGGAGGGGGCCAAGAGAAAGAGGGGGGGGGTGGAGGGGTTACGATATTTTACATACATACGAAGGAGGGAAGAGGCGCGAGAAAGAGGGACGTGTGTGTACACGAGTAGACGTACGCACGAATGTAAACCGTGAATGAATACTGGGCGACACTTGCACCCACATGATTCATTGAAATTCAAATGATATCTTCGCGGCTCGACGCAACAACGAAGAAGAAGAAGAAGAAGAAGAAGAAGACGATCAGTCAGTCAGTGTCCGAGGGAAGAGAGCGCGTTCGCGCGTGTGAGTGAGTCGGTGAGATCGGCTGCGACAGACACCCCATGATGGAAACGCCGGTGCTTTACATATATGCTTATAGGCCCCGGCGAGAGATATTCATTATAATAGCGAGCAACACAGCCTCGTGTAATATAATGCACAGCTTTGGTATGCTAACCGGGGTCAAAATACAACAACTCTTCGCTCCGACGCCGAGAAGAGATTCGTGTCGGTCGTTTGTCGTAACCCGCGGTGGATGGAGACATCCCTGAATTCCTACGCTGAACTCTTCCTCAAACTCACAGCTTTGCCAACATTTCTAAAAAAAAAAAAAGTAAAATCGATAAATCCTTTTCCCGCGTTAGATAGAGACGATTTTTAACGACGTCGCAATTTCGACCTCGTCTAAAAAAAAAAAAAAAAAGAAAAAGAGAACGATTTTCCATGGACGCGTATCTGGACGGTCACGACAGATCGCGGTTAAACTTGCACGATCGCTCGTTTGCTCGCCTGCACGCGATCCAATGTGTCCGAGATAATGATCGACCGACGTCTCTTTTTTCCCCTCCCTCAAAGATGGACAGACAGAGACACGGCTCGCCTCGCCACTTTCCAAACGATACCGCGATAAGGGAAGATGGAAGGAAGGAAGGAAGTGAATATCGTTTACTCCACCTTCTTCTTCTTCTTCTTCTTCTTCTTCGAGAGAGAGAGAGAGAGAGAGAGAGAATAGTCTCCTCGACGAGCTCGCGCGGAAAGCTAGGTAGACTTTAATGGTCATATTTACAGCCTCGTCCAATTATTGGGTAAACACGAGGAATCCGCGGGGTCCTTCCTTCCTTCCTTCCTTCCTTCCTTCCCCGTTTTTACAGGAGGCAAAAAATCGGACGCCATCGGACGCAGGTGTTTACGCGCAAAGTAAGTAAGGAGATTAGCGGCCGTCCGCGTAATTTCGCGGCTCGTTCCACGCTTTCCGCTCGCCCGGTTACGAGATTCGTTACGATCGTGGCGCTCCTCCCTTCTGCTCGAGCACAAGCGAGAATTAACAAACCGTAGGTGGTTGCACCGCCTGGTAAGGGTGGACCGCCACAATGGGACCGAGCGCAATTCCCTTTTTTCTGGGAAACGAGCGTAATCATCTCCGTTGCGCATCCGTAATTGCGCTTCTGCATGCATGGGCCCGCTAATTGATCGGGGAGGGGGAGGATAACGACCTGTGAATCCTGCGTAAAAAAGGGGGATATTAATCGACCCTAACGCACCACCGCTAATTAATAACTAATCGTGACTCGTCGACTCGATACTGTGCGCGTGTGTGAGAGAGAGAGAGAGAGAGATTGGAAGCTTCGCTTTCTATCCTCCTCGAACGAGCGCGATTCATTGCCGATAAACTTTAATCAATTCGGTACGATAATTGTGAAATGCACGCGTCGTGTACAACGAGCTTCGTCCGCAAGGTCGGGAAAAATTATATCGGCATTCGTCGCATTTCTCTCGCGAGTTTTTTTCCCTCTTCGACCCACTCGAAAATACGCGTACGATCGATTGATCTATCCTATCCATCTGTGTCGATACGTGTCGATCCGCGAAACAAGTCTCGAGCAACGACGAAACGACGAGCAAAGATCGTGGGCCGCGTTTGCATAATGATAACGCATTTGCATAATCACGATGATAACGCGAGGAGGATCATCGTGGTTGTATGCACGTGAGTCCAGGCCGCGTGTGGGTGTGCGCACCACGACGAACGCTGGCCGCGGTGTAAAGAGGCGAGGTGGGCACGTATATGGCAGCGAAATACCCGGCAATTTGCAGGTTTACGAGTTATTTCGCAATGGCTGCAAAGTATAGTGCTACAGTATTATACTGGCCGTGGTAGTAGCTCGGCCATCGAGTGCACTGCCGGTGAACGGCGATGGCGGTGATGGTGGCGGTGGTGGTGGTGCGCGCGAGCAGGGATGATGTTAAAAACTCGAGGAGACGCGCAACAACCGGGCGCCTTCCTCGCTTCCCTTCTCCTCGATCGGATGCCTTCGAAACGAAACGCGAAGGGAGGATTTCCAGGCCTCGAGGGAGGGAGCCTCGTAAAAAAAGCTCGCGGATACTTTTTCTCTTACTTTTTCTCCCCCCCTCCCTCTCTCTCTCTTATATTTCTTTCTAGACGGCTCGTTAACGTCCGCCCAAGGTCGAAAGGTTAAGTTCCTTAGCGCGGCAAATTTGAACGATGGGGTGATCGATGAAAAAAAAGTGGCGAAGCTATGTTCCTTTTTTCTTTTTTTTTTTTGGAAGGGAAAAGAGAGGAGGGGAAGAGGAGGGACAACGGACAATGGAGCCAGTTTTCTTTCCCCCCCCCTCTTTTTTTTACTCGCTACGCGAGATTTGCCAATCGCGCGAACGTTGGCTCGATGATTTCGTAATAAAGTTATCGTCGGGTGAAATAAAATGACCAAGCGAGAAGCGCGTTTACCGATTTCCTAACAATTGCGATACATACTGCGTTTTATTGGTTTACGCGATCGTTAAACCAATTGTTGCGCAATCTCGAGAGTACTGTGAAAAAAGGAGGGGAAAAAGGAGAGAAGAGGAAGAAGAAAAAAAAGAAAAGAAAGGAAAAGAAAGAAAAAGGAGAAATAAAAAATGGGAAAAATAAAAAAAAAAAAAAAGGAATAGGAAAAAAAAAAATCATAGGAATCGTAAATTTCGTCGTTAAATATCAATACGGAATCGTATAATTCGCGAGTCGAATTTTAATATGCAACATTATCGGTCGGCGGCTCACGTAAGCGTACGCTTCTGCGGAACGATTACGTGGCGATATTGAAATTAAAGCGCTGCAATGCACACAATAATTCGCGATAAAACGAGTCGCGAAAATAACCGTCCGTCCGTATATTCGAATAATCGCGGACGATAAAAAAAAAAAAAAGAAAAAAAAAAAAAAAGAAATCGACGAATCGGCCATCGCTTCGTCTCCTCTCTCTCTCTCTCTCTCTCATCGATCGCGCGAGATCGGTTAAATTTGGAGGAAACGGGCGTGGAAAAAGCGACGGGCGAAGATTCTCTCTGTCCGTCTCGAGAGGAGAGAAAGAAGGGAAGGAAGCATCCCCATCCAAGCTAAGAGGAAAGATTAAAGACCGGTACCAAAAGTACGCCCCCACCGGAATGATGGATGCGATCCCGTGGAGGAGACGCCGCTGCTCCTCGAGTAGGTGGAGACTTCCATTTTCATTCCTACATTTCGTCTCCCTACCGTACACCTCTTTCGCTCGCGTCTCCGCGCTTTAATCAGCGCAGGCTCGAAAGCCTCTCGTCACCCCTCGCTCTCTCTCTCTCTCTCTCTCTCTCGATTCGCCCTTCGAACAGCAGCCCCTGCGCGTCCAACGAACGAATCCTCCATATTCCTTCGAAAGGAGAAGAAGAGCTCGCAATATTTTTGACGTTTCTTTTATTTCCTCCTCTTCCTTCGAGAAGAAGAAGAAGAAGAAGAAGAAGGAGAGAGACGAACGCGTGTTTTCATCCTGTCGGTCGGAGGGGGAGTATCGGCGCGAAGCGAACAATCTAAATGGTAATCCGATACCACACCCTCTTTGCAAAAACTGAGAAAGCGCGTCGCGGTAGAGAAACGACAAGAAACCCTTGACAAGCGTTCGATGCGCCTTCCCACCCTTTTCGCCTATCTTTTGCAACACTCTCTTCCTTTCTTCCTTTTCGCCCACTTTTTCCTCCAACCACCTCCAATCCTTCCTCGGACGACGACGACTGGAAAGACCGACTGTCAACCGAGGCGGTATTTGAGAAGAACGGTCGGTAATTATATCCCGCGCGTGTAAAAATAGTAATTAACTCCTATTGCCACGTCAATTAACCCCCCTCCCCGCGATAAATGCCTTCCCTCCGCGCGAATGTTTGCCGTTTGTAATTACACGTTCCTTATTCGATTAATTCCTTCGGTATCCACCCATAAAGATAAAGATCAATTTACACGCCCGGAACATTCAATTACAATCGATCGAAGGAAGAAAAGAAAAAAAAAAAAAAAATAAGGAAAAAATCATTATTACATGCGCGACAAATGTTAACCGATTCTTCGAGCTTCGCCTCTCGTATATTTCTGCTCGAACTACGAGATAAAGTCGGATCGTCGGAGAAGGAGAAGTCGACAAACGCGCGGAAAATCGCGCGATAACAATCCTTCCCTTTCCCTCCCTCCCCCCCTCTCATATACCTCACCGAGATGGATGGATCGATCGTTTCGTTTATACTTCTTTCTTTCTTTCTTTCTTTCTTTCTTTCTTTTCGTCGATCGAAATATCCCTCGATCGATAACGCGGGCAAAGAGGAAAACTGAACTGGTGAAGCGGTAAATACATACATACATACATACATATATATATGTATATATATATATATAGATATATATATATATCCACATAAGTACTTGCCTGACGCACCTGTTTGAACTGCTCTTCGAAACTCCAACTGGTCTGCTGCTGGTGATTCGCTCCCGCCGTATTACTCTGCGACTGATTGTTGGTCTCGCGAGGCTCGCCACCGTTTCTAGCGCTCCCCTGCGAAGACTCGCTAGAATGTGAGCTAGCCGACGACGTCACTTGATTTCCAACCCCGCTCCCGATACTACCACCAGATTGCGCGTGACTGTTTTGCGAGTGATGTTGGGGCGTCAGAAACGCGGGTGGTGGAAACGAGAATGGTAGATTGAAACCACTTCCGCCCATTGCCGCTTGCAACGCTTCTAAACCACTCTTGTTGTTCAAAGCGTCCATATCGGTGGGCTGTGGGCAAATCCATTCGATTTAGCGACAATTTCCTCCGCCCTCCTCTCCCGACTCCTCGCTACGCGGCCAAGTAAATGAAAGAAATGGAAATGGGTGGGTGGGTGGGCGAATGGATGGATGGATGGATGGATGGATGGATGGGCGGGCGACCATCTTTTTCTTCGCCTCGACGATTCAATTTCGCCTCGGGGCTCGTTAAAATGGTAACGGTTTGTAATGCGATGCGATAAAGATAAAACGCGGTTTTTCTCATCCGGTTTCTCTTATCTTCGCGAAAGAGACGCGAGAAACAGGGGGTGGAGGGTGGAGGGTGGAGGGAGGGGTGGAGGGGGGGTTGAGAAGAAGCTTTCTTTTTTTTTTTTTTTTGCGTTCGAGGGAAGAGAGAGAAAAGAAGAGATAAAAAAGAGAATAAAAAAGTAGCGTAGAAGAAGCGACGATTTTTCTGAACTGACCTCCATCTTCAATTTTGCCAGAAAGTGCGGATGATGTGCACCCATAAGACTGTTCAAGTGTGTTAATGGAGTAGGTGTACCAGCCTGCGCGGATGCACTATCCGTCGAGGAGTGCGTGTTACCTTGAAGTGGCTGCTGAGGTAACTCCTCGCCGCTCTCTTCATCCTGAAGATCCGGATCCGACAGATCCTCTTCCTGATGCGACTGAAAACAGATAAAAACGGATACGTTTGAACGGATTGACGCTTTCTTCCTTCTCGCGGAAAAAAAAAAAGAAAGAAAAAGACGAGCTCGAGGAGGTTCGGATCGCGATCGTTCGACTCGTAGGCGAAGAATGACTCGGTCGGAGGGGAAACGGAAAGCTCGTTAAGATTAAGAACTGGTAATGTGTTTAATTTCTGTTTTATCTGTCGAGTAACAGCTACGCAAATTTTAACCTGATTCCACGACGATCGTGTTAAAAGATGGAACGGACGATGTTGGCCGATAGGGCCCGGCGTTGCCTATGAATGGTTGGGTCGCGTAGCGGCGGAGGTAAGGAGGGCAAGATATCGAGTGCATTAAACATTAATTAGGAAAATGGCGAATGCGCCGCCTTCTATACCGGCCAGATACCCGCTATCGGCCATTATTATGCTACGGGTGTCATAAGTGTTTTACGACTGTGCCCGTTGCACCGGTGTGCCGAGATAAAACTATACAAAGTGACATTACCGTGAACGGAATGAGCATCGTAAAACGCGTGGAAAAAAAAAAGGAGAGAGAGAGGAGGGGGGAGAGGGAGAGGGAGAGGGAGAGGGAGAGAGAGAGAAGGATGTTCCCGCGTGTACAGTCGTTGGCCGCGGGATCGGTAATTCCGTCCTATCCGATCCGACGTTGTTGGCCCATCTCTGTCGTCGCGCCAATAACCAACTTGTTTTCACGCAAACAAACGGCTGCCAGACGCCACGAATAATATAATTGTCCCACGGATCGTGTGTCAAAACGAAGACTCGTTTGTTCCTTTTCCTTTTCTTTTTTCTTTTTTTTTTTTCTTCTTCTTCTTTTCCTTCCTTTTTTCTTTCGAAAGGAAACGACCGCGATTCCTTTCCAAGTATCGTCCCCTCGAATCTCCTCGACACGGAATTATCGGCGTTATCGCGCCGCCACTCACGATTCCTTTCTCACGATCGTATCGTGCCCACAGTCTACTGCATGCCCACTTTCTGCATTCGGCAGGGCATTCATCGGAGATATATTGTACGAGTCACTTCGATAATAATTCGATGTACACTCGTTTACGATATTTTCACCCTCTCGTCCAGAGCGAAAAGTTATCCCCCTCATAGTATTTCCCAGAAGAATCGAGGAAAAATGGTCGAGAAATTGGAATGGAGGAGGGGCCATCGAGGCGTGCCTGCCCCCTTTATCTACGTGGCGGCGAACATGCAAATAGATTCATCGAATCCTTCGAAGCGGATATTCAAATAGGTTTGCCGGCCGTTTCTTCTACCTGAAAAGGGCGGACTTGGATAAATATATACTTATCGAGTGCAGGTGTCCCCCCCCGGAGCAGGGATACACGATCACCGGCCGATCTGAAATTGTGCGATCGAGGAGGAGGAGGAGGAGCGAAACGGTTCCTCTGTCGGTGATTTCGAGCACGTGTGATAATATTGACCCTTTCGAGGTGGTCACCAAGACGACCACCGCTGGAATCCTCGATGGTATCCTAATCAAACACGAAACTGAATCTCGAATGACCGAATTTTTCCCTCTTCCCTTCCCTCCACTCTCCCGCTCCCAGCAGAGAGAGAATTTATCGGTCGCAGTCGAAAAAAAAGAAAAAGAAAAAGAAAGGCATGAGAAGGGAAAAAAAACTCGAGAAATTGCACGTCTCTGAATGGAAGACAATGCGAGTCGATAACAAGGGGAATAAGAGGCGCGTTCGTGCGCTTCTGACACATTGTGTTTAACGTTATGCACAAAAACCTGTCACCGCCAGGAGGTCTCCTCGCGATAAAAGTCTGTGAAAGTTTCACGGAGTTATCGTGGGATATCGGTAGCGCGAAATAAGTAGGTACGGTGATAGAAAGTCCGAGATGAGAAAAAGTGGGAAGCGTGAAAACGAGCGGAGCCGATCGGCTTCGGTTGGTTGCCGCCGCCGTCGTCGTCGTCGTCGTCGCCCCTCGACGCGAATTATATCATTGGGGGAGAGAGGGAGAGAGGGGTGGTGGCGTCATTACGTTAATCACGGTACAGGCGTTTAGGACGCTATTGTTCTAACTCGAACCGGTTCGCGTAGGTGTTCGATTCCCGACCCTCGAGAGGGGGACCTCGACCTTCGAGACCGCAGACACGTTCCACCAATCCTTTCCTTCCTTCCACCGATCTTTGACCCTTTTTGATCGAGAAGAAATTACGCGCAAAAAGAATGATTCGTATGAATAACAGTGTTTTTCTTTCTTCTTCTTCTTCTTTTCTCTCTCTCTCTTTTTCGTCGTTTTGAAGGAGGACGAGAAGCGAATACTCGGAAGTCGGGAAGTCGTTTCGCGTTGGTTTCGCCAGAAAACCATCTTTAAAAGGAACAAACATTCGTGTGTTTTCCCCCCTTCCCCTGCCGCGATAATAACTCAAGATGAACCGAATAAATCAATAGAGAGCGCGGCCGCCGAGTGGTCCTGCGGCTTAAGCCGGGCCGGGCAAACCTTTGGGTAAAACTGTTACCCCGAGCAAACAAGTGGGCGCGGCCTGTGTCTCCTCTCGCAGGAGGAATCATCCTCCCGCTTGTCGTCCCCCTTGTCACCTTGCGCGCCTCTCTTACCTGCGCGTGTGGGTGATCGTGTCCCCGCATAATTCGTAGCTGTCGCCTACCGAAAACGATCTTTCTTCTTCTAGAAGCGATCGAATCGAATCCTTTCCTACAAAGTTGCACATATATATATATATATGATCGTCGTTTTTATTCGAAAGCGGAAGCCGAGCTGAATTCGTCCGGGTGGAACGGTTGCAATTATCGGCTGTGCGTCCATCTTTGACGAAGAAAAAAAAAAGGCGACGCGCAAATAAGATTTCCAAACCGTTCACGAAATCAACCGTCACGAGGTTCTCTCTTTTTTCTTCTTTCGCGATTGCGAAAACGAGGCGCGAATTAATTTTTTTTTTTCTTCCTCCTTACAGAAGAGGAGAGAAATAGTTAGGTATTAATAGCTTGGAAGAAGAAGAGTATACATTCGCTTGTTGTTATTTCAAACGTTCCGATTTCAACTTATTAAAGCTTGTAATTGAAACGTTGAAATTCAATGGTAAGGGAATGGAGAGGATCCCGGTCGAAAAACCGGCGCGTTTGTTTATAACATCCGTTAAACGCCGCGACGTCTCTCGCGGCTTCATGAAGACGTTTTAACGAGATTTAATATATCCTAGCCACGACAATAGCTAAATTTACCGGAGGCCAGGCCGCGACGCGTTATCCCTTACGAGCCACGGCAGATAACCGAGTCCGCGCCGTGATTTATCGCCGCGCCGCCGTTCTCTCTACGATTGTTTTATTGTTTCTACCTTATAGTTTGCACGCTTCGCGGGTGTACCCGTGTGTCCCGGTAACAAAGGACGCGCGTCCATCCGCACACGCTTAACCCACTCATCCTTCCCTTCAACGTAAATCAACGCCTCAACGACCAACGCGCTCCCCCCTTCTTCCCAATATTCTAATTATCGCCACCACCGACCATACTCCAGATCCGAAAGATGGTACGATGGCTCGAAATCGGTGGCAATTTTCCGGAAAATGGAACGCGAGGGAACGTTGCTCGAGAAGAAGTACTCGATATTTGAATCAAACATCTCCTCCTTTCTGTGTGAATCGAGTCCGATGTATTCGTTCCTGATGGCGGAAAATTTTGCGACGCGAGGAAACGGGGAACGTGTCGTTCTCGATTATCTCTGTTCGATAATGTCGATCGATAAATTTTCAATCGAAAGATCGTCAAGTCATCGGCCAAGTTTCTGATTCCCTCTTTTTCCCAATGTGAATTTTCTCGATTATACTCGATCGATAAAATCGAAAGATCTGTTAAGTTTCTGATTTCCTTTCTTTCCACGCTACGATTCCATCCTGGCGAATCTAATATGAATTCTCGATTATACTCGATCGAAAAGAGTCGAAAGATCTCGTGAAAGAACGGTTAAGTTTCCTCTTTTTCCACGCTATGTAATTCGATCCTGGCGAATCGAGTCCAATGCGATCGGTTTTGATATCGCGAGACGAGGAACGGAAAATGGAACGTGTCATCGATAAAATTTGTATCTGAGGACGGTGAAAGATTTCTCGAACGATCGAAAGAATTATCGTCGCGACAGAGAAAATTCCTGTTGTCGCGCTCGTCGTTTTCGTTCGTGCCAAGCGCTCGATTCGTCGGCTCGGTGGGAGGCGAAAAACGAATAAATAATATTCCAAGCGTATTATACGGACGATTAATTCGACCTTAGCTCGTGCGCGAGATACATCACCCGCCACGCTCGATTCGTCGATCATTCAAACGAACCGCCGCCTAGCCGCGATTTCGGTAACACGTCGTAAAACGGCCATACGTTTGTTTCCTCCGAGTAACACTCTGTTGCATCGATTAAGCACGTTTCCCTCCTTTTCTCTCTCTCTCTCTCTCTCTCTGTCTCGCCTCCTTCAAACCGTACCGTCTGTAAATCGTGGGTATATATACGGGTATATTCGGTTTTTACGACTTTGGAAATTGCGCTCAACTCGTCCAAGGCCTGCCTGTATCTGGACGTGGTAATATATATACGTGTACGCGAATATATATATATACATATAGAACGGAAGGAAATAACGAATGGAAACGAGAGATTTGATAAAATAAATAACCCGTTATCGGGATGGGAATAGGTGGCGGTAATTGGAAACGGTGTAATCACCTCGAAATTGCCTCGAGTTTAGTTTCCTTCTCTCGAAATCTTTATTACCAACGAAACGCAGAGGAACGAACGTGGTTGGAAAAATCGAAACGCAAATTAAAAATCGGGGAGAACAGGTGGAGAAGACGAAACAGCGCCGGTTATCATCAACGTTATCGAGCTAATTTCCTAGACGGATTTTCCAATCGTTTTCGATCGAACGTTCCATCACTCCCCTCCCATCTTCGCGCGTATCTTCTTCAAACAGTTCGATACATATAAAAATAGCCGATCCCGCTACAAGGAGACAGAGAGAGAGAGAGAGAGAGAGAGAGAGAGATACGAATTGACGATTGCAAGAGCGGAAATTAAATATCGCGCATAAATGCATAGACCTTGACTCATCCCGATGATCGTCATCGTATTTATATCGTTTCGCGAAGACAAATAAGAAAAAAGGAAAAGGAAGAAAGAAAAAGGTGGCGATCGATAGTCCAAGGCGAGATTGTTGGACAGATTCGACGTGCAAATTCTATATAACCTACATCTACTTAGAGAACGTTTACTTCTCTCTCTCTCTCTCTCTCTCTATGGACGGATGCAACGATCCAACCGAATGACCCGGCGCTCGTCGCGAGGCGCAATAAAAACGAAGTTTAACCGTCTTCGATACGGAGCTGTGTTTCCGTGGGGACCCCCTGCGGTGCTCCCACGTAGAGATCACGGCTTCATCACGTAGAGATCTCCTCCCGCTCGGGATGTACACGCGAGTCGAGTCGGGCTACTCTCTCGAGGAAATAAATTCATAAACTGCCCCCTCGATGATGATAAACAGCCCCGAATCCGTGGCTCCGTTTTGGCAGATCGATCGATTAAGATTGAGAGATTACCCCCGCCGGTCACCGTGTCGCAGGTCCCTCCCCGCAGAGGGGAGCTGATTTATCGGCCGAGGCAGGCCTTTTGTCAGGTATATAAATTCATTGAGCAACGGAATCGTCATCGCTGTAATCGCCTTTATTTATCAATATCGCCGGGAACGCGCATCGATCAAACCTGTCTATTTAACCTCAAAGCTTCCTTCTTTAAGGGACAACCCTCTCGCTCGTCCTTGAAGAGGACTCGCGCCAGGGCTCGAGCGTAGCCTAGAATACCGGGGCAGGGGAGGGGGAAGAGGAGGAGGAGGAGGAAGGGGCCGGGTTTTGGTAATTCGAGCGCAATTTAACGACCGGTCGCCGCTTTCTCTTTTCCTCCCTCCCTCTCTCTCTCTCTCTCTCTCTCTGGTGGCTATGTAACTAGAATCGATCGTAAACCGAGCGAGTATGCGGCCTTCCACG